AACACGCTGTGTTCACGATTTCAGCCTAGAAATCTTTTCCAAGTCCAGCATTAGAGAGCATACACCTATCTCTCTCTAAAAGTGTCTGGTTTATGCGCTCTGCCACCCCATTCCATTGAGGTGTGTGCCTAACTGTTCGATGTCGGACTATCCCTGAATCTTCACAGTACTTGTTGAAATCACCTTCGCAAAACTCAAGACCAATGTCTGTTCTGAGACACTTTATCTTCTTCCCAGTTTGATTTTCAATCAACATCTTCCACTTCTTGAACATATAAAAAACGTCACTCTTACGCTTCAAGAAATAAACCCAAGCTTTTCTAGAAAAGTCATCAATAAATGTTAGAAGATAAACTGCACCACCCTTAGATGTAACCTGTGCAGCTTCCCACAAATCGGAGTAAATGTAGTCAACTGTGCCCTTCGTCGAGTGCCCCTCAATACTGAAACTAACTCTGCGTTGCTTCCCAAAAACACAATGCTTGCAAAAGTCAAGTGAGACCGTATGATTCCCACATAGTAAACCACGCTTACTCAAGATAGTCATTCCTCTTTCGCTCATGTGGCCCAACCGCATATGCCACAACATTGATTTCTCAGAATTTGAAGAGGATGATACATTTGAAGAACCCACAACGGTACTTCCCTGTAGGACATAAATGCTATTTTTCTTGTTACCTCTCATCACAATCAATGAGCATTTGAAATTTCCAAAACTCTACCTCCACTTGTGTACATACATCCAATAGAATCCAAACTGCTCAACGAAAGAAGGTTCTTCTTCAAATCTGGGATGTGCCTAACGCCTGTCAAAGTTCTTACTATATTGTCATGACATTTGATCCACATTGTACCAATACCCACAATCCTACAAACTGCATTATTGCCCACTTACTTTCCCATATGTGTAGAACCAATCTTTATTTAGACACATGTGGTATGAACATGTCGAATCCAAAATCCATTCGTCGTCAACATGACAATCCGAAGACAAAACAATAAGAACATTATCTGCATCAGCCAACTCGTTATCCTTCACCAGACTAGCCGAATCGGAACTTTCCATCGACTTCTTCCCCTTAGCCTTGAGCAAAGGACACTCATTTTTGTAGTGTCCAAATTTGTGACAATAGTAACACTCCACCTTACTCTTGTCCCGGCTTGATCGAAATTTTGAACGTCCCTTATTATTATTGCGCCTATCACGATGATTCGACCTTCCCCTAACAACTAAGCCATCGGCTTTATTACCACTACCACTTCAATTCAACTTTGTACACATCTTTGCGGAATTCAAAGAGGCCTTCACATCCTCAAGAGTTATGGATTCCCTCCCATACAGCATAGAATTCACAAAATTCTCATACGAGCTCGGTAGTGAGCATAACACAATTAAGGCTTGGTTTTATCATCTAACTTCAAATCTAGATTTTTCATATCCATCACAATCTTATTAAATTCATCTATATGTTCTTGGATAGGAGTACCTTCTTGCATCTTTAGCGGGTAAAGACGCTGTTTCAAGAATTATCTTGTCGTAAGAGATTTCTTCATGTGGATGCTGTTGATACCTAAATTTTGGCACATCATTTAGTGATTAATTGCATAGAAAATTAGGGATTAAATTTTAACCCCTAAAAAAATTATCAAATTCGCATAGCATATAGTTTAGGATCGTATAGTTTAATTGCATTCCACATTGGACCGACGGCGGTGAGTAAGCTGAAAATCCATCGCATAAATCGAGCTCGGACACCAAACGGAACTCGGCTCACCTAGGGGATAGGGGCCGAAAATCATGAGTCCAAAAGGCCTTGTTTATCTTAATTTGAGCTTAAATCAACCCATTAAGCTTAATTAAAGAAAAGCCCAAATTAATTCAGCCCATTTGGAATTAAATGAAAATTAAAGGATGAAGCCTAAGCCAAAGCCTATTAGGTCTTGAAAGCCCAGCCAATTAACCTAGGGTTGCGATATAAATATGTGATTATACTCCTTAATCAGGGGGAGGGGGAGCTCTCATAATTCCCAGAACACAATTCTTGAGAGCATGAGAGATACACGTGAGCGAGAGTGAGAACAAGGAGCAAGAGAGAGTCGGTCGCGCATGCACCCGCCTCACCGTTGCGCCGTCTTCACCACGCTGCCTCGCTGCCACTACCACTGCGCCCAACGCCACTGCCCGTGAGCTCTCCGAGCTGCTGCCGTCCTTGAGTCCGACGCCCATCTCTCGCCACTACGACCAGTCCGATCGCTTGTGTCTCCAACCAGCAAGCATCATCGGGAAACCGATTTATCCAAGCTGAAGGTTGTAGGCCGTGTCCAAGGGGTGGATTTTGTTCCATTATCACCACCTGTTGGCCAAGGTCAGGAGCATAAAGTCAAAGAAATTCATGGTCACGCGATCTGAAGCAGGGAATTCCAAAGAAGAAAAGACAACGAAAAGAAGGTGGCAATTGGAGATTTTAGTTTGAGTGAGCAACGTGACAACTACAAATCAAGAACGCGTCCGTCGCTCTCCATTATTAGGTTCCATTCGCAAGTCTAAGTTACCGTGACAATGCTGAGACCAGCAACTCCCGCGAGCTTTACCACCCGACGCCGTCCCCGATCAATCCAGGTGTTCCCTGTCGCTTCCGTGGCTGTGGCGTCCCTACACGGCCGTGGCCTGTGTTTCTGTTTTGCAGATTGACCGGAGCGCCACCACATCGCCGCCACCGCGCCTGCCGTCCACTCGCCGTCAGTCGACCTGCCCCGTGATCCGCAAGCCCGAGTTCAAATTTGGAAGTTATCTGCGAATTAGGTAAGATTATTATCCGAATATTTCTTTTAAATATTTTATTTCCTAATTTTCGGGTGTTTGAATATATTGTGAATATTCTGTGGATCACTAGATATCTTAGGATAACGTATGTGATATCTGCTATATTCTAAGATACCCCGAATTAGGAATTTTTCCTAATCCAGCAACGTATCTGGACGACTATCCGATCTTATCCCTAAGGCACGATACGCGGTGATACGGAAAATCGTTATCTTATCTATAATCACTTGGATACGATAATAGATATTATTCGCTTTCCAAATTCGAATAATCAGTTTTCCGTCGATATCTATAACCCTATAGATATGACTGTTAATTTGATTTCTTTTCCTAATTCAAATTGGATAAGAATAATCTTGCGGGTTGTGTGGATTGTTTAATAAATTGCATTCTTAATTTGAGTAACTTTTAATTTCGAATTTTAATAAAAAATATCAAAAAAATAAGTTGTTAGATTGCGTGTTATTTTAGGCATTCTTTTATTTCGAATTTCATTGGAAAAATACCAAAAATAATTTATTTGTCCGTCACTAGAATTAGGTCATATCGTCGCATGACATATAGTTCGCATGCTAGGTTGCATTAATCGCATGTTATTTTTGCACGTCATTGCATATAGGTTAGTTTGCATTTTAATAAAGCGCAAACCCTAAAGAACATCTTGAGTGCCTTGCTTTGTTAATTAGAAATCATATTAGGATTGTCTATGTGATTTTCTGCTAACAATGCAGATGCTTGCGTTGCTCTAACGTACGTCATTATCCTAATCTTGCAATTTATTTATTGCTTTCTTGGGTGTTAAATTGATGGTTTGTGCACCCACATGAATACTTTACATGTTAATGATTAGGTAATAAAATAGATCCAGACTGCTTGCATAAATATTTTTTTTGAAAAGAAAAGGTACCGAAAGGGCGTTAGACTAGATCTAGCGTAACCAAGTCCCCGAGCTTAGAATCTCTGGTTCGTAGGAATAAAACATATCTCCCTATGTTTTATTTAGGTTTCTAATCAACCTACCACAAATAGATTAGTGGCGACTCCAAGCATGAAAACTTTTGCATGTTAAAAACTTAAACCCTAAGTTGCGAATTGGTAGGGCTTGGGAGGGCCCAAGTTAGGCTTAGTCTTAATAATCCATTAGCCTGAGAAATTTAGGTCGCGACAGCTTAGCGACTCCGCTGGGGACTAGGTTAAAACTCTTAGTAGACTTAGGCCAGTTTTTCTTTTCAAAAAATATTTTTGTTTGGCAGCGAGCATCTCGGGTACGTCCCTAACGTTTAAGGTGTTAAATGTTTTTGCAGAATGGGAGGTATAAGGGGAGGCGTGATTGTGAACCCTTGTTTTGCAGGGAGGTGTTTGGATGTATGGTTTATTTTATGTACGAAGCGCTGTATGATATAACCTGTTGTGCGTGCCTTGTATTTACACTACACCGTACATACTACCCGCTGCCGGACCTGGGTGGCACAGGTTTAGGATGGTACTGAGACAGCGGACACCCCGACTACACCCGCGTAGTACGGGTTACTCTTCTTGGTCCTGAAAGTTCTTTCATGGTGTCATTGAGTTCCCACCACGGTTGCACCTTTTGCAACCCGGGTCGTCTCCTTGACTAAGCCGGAGTCAGGGGAACCCCGGCCTAACCACTACCATGACTGGTTTAGCCCGGTAATCCTCACGTCTCCACTTTGCAAGCCAGAATCTAGATAGAAATCGAACCTCACATTTCATGCGTATGTCTATGTGATTGCCATGGTCCTACCGGGTGAAGTAAGTTTTCTAATCCTATGCTTTGCAATTTACTTACTTTTTCGTATATTTGGTCGGTCCATGATAGGTCTAGGTCGATCGTAATTTTTGAAAGTAATAATCATTGAATTTTTTGAAAGGGAAAGAAAAAGAAAAAAATAAAGCTTTGAAAAGAAATTACTTTCAATTTTTATTATTATTTTCCTAGGTCTGTCATAAGTCATTATTTCCTGAGAAATTTGCCATCATTTTCACAAGTACAAGGAGTAATGAAAAATGTCATGAAAAATGGGAATAAAAAGGGACAATTAGACTGAGTCATGGACTGATCATTTTGAGGATGTACACTTACCATGCTCTATTTTCGAATTAGGTTATTACGGACCGTCAACGTTCCCTAATCCGTACTCGCTCAAGAGCAAGAATGACTGACCAAAATGAGCAGGCTCGTGTTGCTGTCCTTGAAATCGAGATGAAGCAAGTCCTGAATGTGCTCGAGAATCTCACCAAACAAGTTGCTTCCCTACAGACAAGCATTTCCACATTGTCTGCACCCGCTCAACCGAGTGTAGAGATTGTACTGCCCGATGACTCTCCTCCTGTTGAGTCAAAAGATAAGGGAAAAATTGTTGCCATTGGCACTTCCTCGACTGAGAATGGTGCAACTTTAACTGACAAAGCTCGTCCGATCATTACAAATGGGGGCGATGCATCTTCTAAGCCACCAAAGAGTGATGAGGCTGAGCGTATTGATAAGCTTGAAGAAAAATTCCATCAAATGCAAGGCTTTGATGATCAATTCTCACGAGGTCTTGCTCACATTGTCAAGGTTCAAGTCCTTAAGAAGTTCAAGGCGCCTGAGTTTAATAAGTTCGATGGCCTTTCTTGTCCTAAGGTCCATTTACAATACTACACGACGAGGATGGTGCCGTATGCCGATAATGTGCCACTCATGATCTACACTTTCCAAGATAGCTTAGTCGGACCCCCCTTACAATGGTTCGTTTTGAAGAAGATTCACTCGCTCAAGACATGGAAGGATTTGTCTGATGCCTTCATCCGTCAATACAAATTCAATATTGACGTGGCCTCGTCACATGAGGATTTGATTCGCACTGAGAAGAAAAAGACTGAGACCTTCAAGGCCTATGCCACTAGGTGGAGAGCTCTAGCTGTGCAAATTACCCCCAAGTTGACTGAGAAGGAGATGCTTGATACCTTCATGAAGACTTTACCGTTCAAGTTTCGTAATCGAATGCTGGGTTCTAATTTCAATTCTTTAGCTGAGTTGATACCTGCGGGAGAACGCATTGAGATCGCTCTGCGCGATGGTTGGGCCATTGAGCAGGCTACCTTCGCTAAGAAGTTCACCCTCAAGAAAGATAAGGAACCGGCACCTGAAGTGAATGTAGCTTACTCTCAACAAAGCTGTGATACTGCCTCGACAATGCAGTCTGCTGGCAAACAACAAGGTGGACGCCAATTCACTAGTCGACAACAAGGTACTAAAAGGAGCTTCACGCTTCTGCCTAGACCGTCATCCAAAGTTCTGCCTGTCCTCCAAAAGAAAAATTTGCTTTCAAGTGAGCCGAAACACCTGAACCCCGAGCTGTTCTCTGGTTATGACTCCTCTAAGAAGTGTAAGTATCATATGGGGGAGGTCGGTCATTCTACTGATGATTGTTACGTACTGAAGCATAGAATTCAAGACCTCTTGGACACAAAGGCATTCTCTTTCTGCAGTGATCAACCAAATGTCCAGCGGAACCCTCTACCCAACCATGTTGGAAGCGCGGATGCTGTTATTGAGTGGAGAAATTTCTGTACTCCTCTGCGAAGGAGTCTTTCATGCTTTCTAGGATTTCAAGTGTTTTCTAGGATTTCCTGCTTTCTAGGATTTCAATTCATGTTTATGTTTTTATTTGTAGGGCTTTGATTATTTGCATTTCCCTTCCAATAATGTAATTCATTTGACTCTATTAAATGAAATTACAAGTTTATTTGCATTTTGAGGGCATGTTGAAGTATACCAAACTAGCCCGGTGATGATATCCAACCATGAAAGGAAAATATCATCCAAGGAGAAATTCTGAGGGCTAGGCTTTCTCATGCTCCCTCCAAAAAAAGACTTTTCGAAAATAAAAAGCATTTCATTGCTTTAAAAAAAAAAACTTTTCCAAAGCGTGCATCAAATAAATCCTGTTTGTTTGTCTGACTCATTTACTTCATTTACTTCATCTATTGATGATGAACCTATGGGGCAAAAGATCAACACCTACTTGGGCATGATGCTATCTTCGAAGAGCGAAAATGAGTGCTCAATAGTAGGGGATGACGAACTGAGGGGCATGTCGAACTTTGATGATGATAATGGACTGACAAATTCGATTGAAATAATGTCATAGTTCTAATTGGAATCTTCCGAGTCTCAATTCACATTTGCTTAGTATCCTATTCATGCACGCTTTTTTGTGCAGGGGCAAAAGCAACGATGGAGCATTCATGTATCTATTCCTTCTAAATAGGGGCAATCAAAGGGCTCCCATTCCAAAAAATGTCTCTCTGTGTTGATGTTCTCACACCTTTTGCAGGGACCATTTATTTTGAATGCTTAATGCCATATTTTTCATGCTTATGATGAGATTTTTGAGTATGATAAATATGTTTGGAAGTTGCAAACTTTTTGTGCTTGAAGTTGATAAGCTTGTGAAATGATCACATCTTTCAAGGAAAGAAATTTTGCTTGGTAAGTTTACCTATTTGACCCATCAATTTCATGTTGAAATTTGTCAAGATGGACAATTCAATGAATGATGTGGAATTGCTTGAGTATGCTAAATGAGATATGTTGGGCTGATGAAAGGCAAGCCATATCCTATACACCGTCCCCTATTCATACACTTGTGAGATGAGTGAAAAATTCCATGTCCACAAGGTAAAGGGTTATCTCGTGAAAGGTACGACTACCGAAATGACGAGAGGCAATTCACTTCTCTATCCTAAACAATACAGGTTATCCATTGTTTCGCCACTTTGAGCCTAAACACTTGGAGAAGTTTTTTCAAATTACTCCTGTCAAGAATCATCCCACATTGGGGTAAACTGGAGGTAAGTCGACATTGTAAGGTGAGAAAAATGGATAAAAATTTTCTTGCTCACATTTGCATCAATCTTCAAGTGTTGCTATTGCAAATGAACTCAAACATTAATTCAAGTGCCTTAGAATGATGAAGAGCGGTTCTTTCTCTATTCTACACACTTTATCCATTGCCTAGCCCACTTGAGCCTGCAATTTCATTTCATAAAAACCCAGTTAATGATCATCCCCCACACTGGGGCAAGGTAAAAGCTATCACTGTCCACGTAGCATATCCGGAGCGCCGATACAAGGCAAAGACCCTGAGATTCCAAATGTTAGTCATTCGGTCAAAACAAGCCAAAGTGTGGCTGGCCAATGTATGCATTGTAGACAGTGTGTGTCAAAAGTCAAAAAAAAAAAAACTAGGGGGCATGAAAAAGTAGTGTGCCTGGTAAAAGCAATGCCAATGCCCATGAAAAAAAAGAAGAGAAAGAAAAAAATGAAGAAAAAGGAGAGAACTTTGGAGTAGAAAATGTCGAGATATGATGTGACAAAGTCACAAAGACATCCACAGTCTTAAGGAGTCCAGTGACAAGCTCTCGAGACCAATGGAGCATCTACCAAGAAGACAATCCTTGGAGAAAAAGAGGACCGGTGATAATGCCTAGATGATCACCAACTCTCACCCTATTTATACACATCTTTGAGCCTGATGTGTCCTTTCGTTTCTTAACCAATGAACCCAGCCTACGTTACGTCCTTTGCAAAGTCTCTTCGGATTAGGGCACTTGAATTAACGTAGAATTTATATGTTTATAAGCTTAGCTCGAAGAAGTGCGAGCAAGTCTATTTCTATCTCATTTTGCAAGATTCTTGACTTGTAAACCCGGAGACGATTATGGAGTATTTTCTTTCAGTAGCCTCGACTCGAAGAGTCCCCTTTGTTAAGCCATTGACCAAACCGATGCTACAGTCCTGATAAAGACCTCTTAGATTGGTAAGGTCGTACCGCTTGCGAGAATACTCGGATCCTTGTCGACATGATGATGGTGAGATGGAGTGATTCTCATAAAATAGCCCTTCTGAATAAGAGTGAGTGAAAGCCCTTTCTAACGAAAGTCAGTTAGAAAGTCTCTCATTTAGCACTCTTAAGAAATCCACGTTATGAGTGAAAATTGTCTTAATTAATGATTCTCCCCAGTGGAAATTTGGTGATTCAAATATGGTAAAACCATCATGCATAAATCTCAATTGAATTGATGAATTTTGAAATGTGAGTTCTAGAATAGCCATGATTGCTAATCTCTTTGATGAATGCATATGTGTTTTGCTCTAGTCATGTCTGACAGGCAATGTTTCCTCAAAGACTGAAGAGTTCCCAATGCTACAGTTGCTTTTTGAAGCTTCGTATTCGTCTAAATATTTTTGAATATTCAATTACCTGATTGTAGTTTCAGGTATCATTTCCGAAAATTCGAAGGGAATTTTTGATCCTATTAATTATATCTGATTACAGTTTCAGATATCTTCTCGAAGATCCGAAGGGAATCATCGAGCCCATTCAAAATATCTGATTGAAGTTTCAGATATCTTCTCGAAGATCCGAAGGGAATCATTGAGCCCATTCAAATATCTGATTGAAGTTTCAGTTTCAGTTTCAAGTATCTTTCTCAAAGATCCGAAGGGAATTTTTGAGCCATTCAAATACCTGATTGGAGTTTCAGGAATCTTTCTTGAAAGTCTGAAGGGAATTATTTGATACCTTTTATCGAAAATCCAAAGGGAATTTTCAAGCCCATCTCATCTCAAGCATCTTCTCTGAAAATCCGAAGGAATTTTCGAGTTTATTTCATGTCTTATTTCGAAAATCCAAAGAGAATTTTCGAGCTTTCAAATACTATTGGGAATTCTAGATACTTGACGGGTTTTCAAAAGCTGTTCCATAGCCCAAGTTTGCTTTCCCAAATCTTCAGGTAAGTAAGTGCAGGTATGTTTTCTATTTTTGCATTAGCATCCACATATCACATTAGAAAATGGGTGTGGGCTCATTGAGATCCCGTTTACTCAACAAAAAGATTAATGTTTCTCATTACATTTGCACAGTCAAAATTTAGGTATCATTTTGTCTTTGAATGAAACCTCTTCGAGCTCCCTTTCAAAGAGGGGCAGCTGTTGACACCTAAATTTTGGCACATCATTTAGTGATTAATTGCATAGAAAATTAGGGATTAAATTTTAACCCCTAAAAAAAATATATCAAAATCGCATAGCATATAGTTTAGGATCATATAGTTTAATTGCATTCCACATTGGACCGGCGACGGTGACTAAGCTGAAAATCCATCGCATAAATCGAGCTCGAACACCAAACGGAACTCGGTTCACCTAGGGGATAGGGGCCGAAGATCATGAGTCCAAAAGGCCTTGATTATCTTAATTTGAGCTTAAATCAACCCATTAAGCTTAATTAAAGAAAAGCCCAAATTAATTCAACCCATTTGGAATTAAATGAAAATTAAAGGATGAAGCCTAAGCCAAAGCCTATTAGGTCTTGAAAGCACGGCCAATTAACCTAGGATTGCGATATAAATATGTGATTATACTCCTTAATCAGGGGGGGAGCTCTCATAATTCCTAGAACACAATTTTTGAGAGCATGAGAGATACACGTGAGCGAGAGTGAGAACAAGGAGCAAGAGAGAGTCGGTCGCGCATGCACCCGCCTCACCGTTGTGCCGTCTTCACCAGGCCGCCTCGCTGCCACTACCACTGCGCCCAACGCAACTGCCCGTGAGCTCTCCGAGCTGCTGCCGTCCTTGAGTCTGACGCCCATCTCTCGCCGCTACGACCAGTTCGATCGCTTGTGTCTCCAACCAGCAAGCATCGTCGAGAAACCGATTTATCCAAGCTGAAGGTTGTAGGCTGTGAGTCCAAGGGGTGGATTTTGTTCCATTATCACCACCTGTTGGCCAAGGTCAGGAGCATAAAGTCAAAGAAATTCATGGTCACGTGATCTGAAGCAGGGAATTCCAAAGAAGAAAAGACAACGAAAAGAAGGTGGCAATTGGAGATTTCAGTTTGAGTGAGCAACATGACAACTACAAATCAAGAACGCGTCCATCGCTCTCCATCATCAGGTTCCATTCGCAAGTCTAAGTCACCGTGACAACGCTGAGACCAGCAACTCCCGCGAGCTTTACCACCCGACGCCGTCCCCGATCAATCCCGGTGTTCCCTGTCGCTTCTGTGGCTGTGGCGTCCCTACACCGCCGTGGTCCGTGTTTCTGTTTTGCAGATTGACCGGAGCGCCGCCACATCGCCGCTGCCGCGCCTGCCGTCCACTCGCCGTCAGTCGACCTGCCCCGTGATCCGCAAGCCCGAGTTCAAATTTGGAAGTTATCTGCGAATTAGGTAAGATTATTATCTGAATATTTCTTTTAAATATTTTATTTCCTAATTTTCGGGTGTTTGAATATATTGTGAATATTCTGTGGATCACTAGATATCTTAGGATAATGTATGTGATATCTGCTATATTCTAAGATACCCCGAATTAGGAATTTTTCCTAATCCAGCAACGTATCTGGACGACTATCCGATCTTATCCTTAAGGTACGATACGCGGCGATATGGAAAATCGTTATCTTATCTATAATCACTTGGATACGATAATGGATTTTATTTGCTTTCCAAATTCGAATAATCAGTTTTCCGTCGATATCTATAACCCTATAGATATGACTGTTAATTTGATTTCTTTTCCTAATTCAAATTGGATAAGAAGAATCTTGCGGATTGCGTGGATTGTTTAATGGATTGCATTCTTAATTTGAGTAACTTTTAATTTCGAATTTTAATAAAAAATATCAAAAAAATAAGTTGTTAGATTGCGTGTTATTTTAGGCATTCTTTTATTTCGAATTTCATTGGAAAAATACCAAAAATAAATCATTTGTCCGTCACTAGAATTAGGTCACATCGTCGAATGATATATAGTTCGCATGCTAGGTTGCATTAATCGCATGTCATTTTTGCACGTCATTGCATATATGTTAGTTTGCATTTTAATAAAGCGTAAACCCTAAAGAACATCTTGAGTGCCTTGCTTTGTTAATTAGAAATCATATTAGGATTGTCTATGTGATTTTCTGCTAACAATGCAGATGCTTGCGTTGCTCTAACGTACGTCATTATCCTAATCTTGCAATTTATTTATTGCTTTCTTGGGTGTTAAATTGGTGGTTTGCGCACCCGCATGAATACTTTACATGCTAGTAATTAGGTAATAAAATGGATCCAGACTCTTTGCATAAATATTTTTTTTTGAAAAGAAAAGGTACCGAAAGGACGTTAGACTAGATCTAGCGTAACCAAGTCCCCGAACTTAGAATCTTTGGTTCGTAGGAATTAAACATATCTCCCTATGTTTTATTTAGGTTTCTAATCGACCTACCACAAATAGATTAGTGGCAACTCCAAGCATGAAAACTTTTGCATGCTAAAAACTTAAACCCTAAGTTGCGAATTAGTAGGGCTTGGAAGGGTCCGAGTTAGGCTTAGTCTTAATAATCCATTAGCCTGAGAAATTTAGGTCGCGACAGAGGCTCTCGAGCTTATTCCACAATCTTGAAGCCGTTTCTTCATCGGCGACCTCACGAAGCACCTTGTCGGACAACGACAATTGGATGGTGCTATGCACCCTCTCTTCCGTCTCCTCGATCTCGGCCGTAGTCATGTCGTCGGGGTACTTCCCATCCAAGGCTCTAATTGAACCTTCCCGATGCAACAACGCCTTCATCTTGATCCTCCATAGCTCAAAATTGTTTTGGCCATCAAAGGGTGCCACTTCGAACTTGATAGATGCCATCTCGAACATAAGACCGAAATTCCTTCGCTCAGATACCAATTTGTTGCGGAACAATACCAAGAGATGCACAAATAGAAAGGATGAAAGCAAAATCGAATCACACGAGACATAAGATATACGTGGAAACCCAAAAGGGGAAAAACCACAGGGAGAGAGAGGGGTTTCACTATTTTCAGCAACAAGTATAAGAGTACAATCTAAAGCTCAAAAACCACTTGGTGAGTAGTAAGATCTAAAGATCTAACGAGAAGATAGAAAGAACAAATAAGGAAGAGAATGTGGAGGCTAGGGTAGTGGATGCATTGTGAAACATATCCCTTTCATAGTCATCCTTCATAAAACCCTACAATAAATGTGCATGGTTCAAAATACCCTTATTACCAATTTGAAAGTCAAACTCAACAAAATCAATATCTAAATATGGAGCTCAAGATTAGCAGCTTTCTCTGTCCATGTACAATTGCTACACCAAGTGAATTATTGAGGGTAGCAATTGATCTTCTGGGATAAATATCAAATTTCACTTTTTTTCAAAAGACAAAACCTCAAGCAGAAGCTTTTGCTGTACTCTCCCTCTCTCTCTCTCATGAAGATGACGAGGAACCAGAAGCATGTCTGGCATGTCAAACGAAGAAAATATGGATATTTCAGGGAATTATTGAGGGTAGCAATTGATCTTCTGGGATAAATATCAAATTTCACTTTTTTCAAAAGACAAAATCTCAAGCAGAAGCTTTTGCTGTACTCTTTCTCTCTCTCTCTCTCTCTCTCTCTCTGATGAAGATGATGGGGAAGCAGAAGCATGTATGGCATGTCAAACGAAGAAAACATGGATATTTCAGGGAAGCAACGTGACCCCACAGAGCGAAAACAACAAAAGCTAGGGTTCTTGTGCTAGAGTGCAGAACATGATATAAAGAAACAGTTCAAAAGAGCTCTCGTCGCCCAGAAGCAAATTGACAGTTTTCTATTTATTTTTCTATACCTTTCTCTTTATTACAATTATTCTATCAACCTCCTTTTGTTTTCCTTCCTTTCCTGCACCTAATTTCAGCTTTTCCTCAGGTCAGCATCTGTCTTTGTAAGTCTCTACAAATTCCATCCTTCGCAACTTGCAATTACACCACCACCCACTTTCTCTGTTCACCACCCCCCAAGTCCCAACTCCCCTGTCGTCCTTCTTCCAAATCAAACCCATAAGACTGCAAAATTACAGAATGAACCCAAAAAAAATAAACAGACTCGAGCTGTCACAAGGCTCCGATCACCATCTGCTTCTTGTTGCACCCCAATGACAACAACTCCACCTCCCTCACTCGCTTCCCACTCCAACCGTTACTGTCGTCGCCGCCGCCAGCGGCCGCCGATACTTTGAAGATGTCGACCCCGAATAACCTTACCATCTGGACCGGGGGGACGGGTGGGGACCAGCCCAGCCCGCTCCTCCGCCTGTACCCTATATGAAGCTGCTTCTCTGGCCCGGCCGACTGGTGGAAGCTCACGATGTCTCCAGCCCTCAAGCTCTTCTCCTTCACGAACCGGCTCCAACCCCGTGTCAGCACGTAGCTCTGGCTGCTGTTCCAATACGAGTACCTGAATCTCCACACTTTGCCTCCACTGTCTTCGAAATTCAGCAAAACGCCCTTCAACGTTACAGAGCTCGTGTTGTTGCGCAGGGGGAAGTGCTTCTCCGCGTGTTGCTTCGGTATCACGAGCCGGTTCAGCTTCCCTACATCACTCGGCGTGACCGCCTTCTCAAAAAGGAGCTGACGGACCATCGCAGCCCCTCCCGGTGAGGACAGATCTCCGAGGGCTCCCGTCATTCCTGCCCTTTTGCCGCTGCCGTTTGAGTTCAAGCACTTCCTCTTGCTCTGCTCGAGTTCATCCCGGTATGTGTGCTTCCGCAACATGTCCACGATCTCCGCCTTGGAATGGGAGTTCAGGAAAGCGGCTTCGAGATCGTAGTCTTCAGTCTCGGGCGTCGGCTTGAAGTTGGTGGCGGCATCTCGGCCGCGGAAGCGCTGGGCCGCCACGTCGTAGGCCATCGCGGCCTCATCCTCCTCGTTGAAGGTGCCGAGCCACACCCTCTGATGCTTCTCGTAGATTTGCGCGCCCCAGCGGCCGTTCGGCTGAGGGACGACGCCCTTGTACTTGGATGATGGCAGCTTCCTTGACTCGGCTTCGACGCCGCCTTCGGGGTCCACTATTCCGCTCGCGCCGCTGCCAAGACGGCAGAGGCTCTGCGGTGGCGGCGGCTGCGTGGATTTCGACGGCTGCGGAACGGAAACGGAGTCGCTTGTTGAGCTGAGCTCGTCCATGCAGCTGCTGTTCCCATCCATCGCTTCTTCTCCGGTCGAGATCGAGAGAGAGAGAGATATTCTTGGGCTATTTGAGGAGAGAGAGAGAAAGATTGACAGAGAGAAAGAGAGAGAGTGAGAGAAAGAAAAGTATAAGATGGTGGCTATGAAAGTTTGGAGGGACTTACGATAACGGGGATATAAGTAGAGGGACTTTCCACAAGTGCTAATAATATTTGTCGCATGTATTTCTTGGTTTTAATCATTGTTATGGTAAGGAAGAGTGTAGAACGTGTGTGTACATGGGGATAAATGAAGGCGTGGGGCATCGATTTGTGTGGGTCAACTCTACGAGATGATGGGTTGGGTAAGGAACAGGGAAAGTTCCATATATATAGACGAGATTGTGATAACATTTATTAAATATTAAGTCGACTCATCTCATTGTTCAATTATTATTGTTATTATTATTATTAACATTATTCTAAAGTACCTATTCATATATATTTTATTAGATCTTCCTCGAGGGACAGCAATACATATTAAGATTTATACAATGGTATTGTATATGACTGACTCGACTTTCGGATATGAACATATCATGCATCTAAGGTGTTTGTGCATATTATTGGGATCCTCCAAATTAAAGGGACGAATTTGCGTTGTAAATTTATCTCATTAGGATAAGCATGAACAACTGAAATGTGCTCCCCTCTCCTTTGTTCCTTGCTTTCTTTATTCCCTTTTCTCTCTCTTTCCCCCCTCTTCTCCATCCCGGGTGCTCCATCCTCTGTGTGCCGCAAACCGTTTGGGTCGGGCTCCACTTGTTTGTTCCTGTGCCACCCACTCTCAAAGGTCGTAACCTTAGATTGAACGTCGCTAGGGTTTTAAGGCTGCATGGATGAAGGTCGCTGGAGCTCGAGACCCTCACAGAGAGAGAAAGTGATCAAGGTCGGTCGGCGAGCGAGACGTGTGGTGAAGCGGAGGCAGAGGAAGAGGAGAGAGAGGGGCAGGGGAGTTACGGTTACGACATTGCCCGAGTTTTTATAACATACACGTTACTTTGTCCCGTGAACCCTAATTACTTAGAACTCATATCTTTTCTATACAATTCACATTGGAAACTTCATAATTTGTGTAGGGTAAAACACTTTCATCTACGGCAGTTGTCAAATTACACAAAGTGGCTGATTAGGGGTGAAGGGTTCTAGGATCGGTCCAGGTTCTACCCAAGTTACATATGTATTCTTAATTGAACAATTGTTAATGAATCTTCACCTCTAATGACTACAATTTACTGCTATAATTCATTGACCACAACTCATATTTGACACAAAAAAATATAAAATATTAACAAAGTAGAAGTCTCGGTCATGGATATTATCAGAAATAGAAGCTTAAACTAATTGTTGCAGATTACACATTAGTCATCCGACGCTATAGAATACCGCAGGATTGCGTAAAGACATAACAAGAAAAACACAAAGAGCCCGTCGGAACCAGTTTTTCAATTTTTTAAACTTGGAACCGAAACCATTCTCACCGATCCTATTTTCTGATTCCCGATTTTATCCGAAAATCATGCCCATCCTTATGGCTGATACCTTAGCCCACCAATAGTACCCGAAATTAAAGCCCGTTTGAATCCTAACACATCGTACCTGGATCAATCTGCTACATCAATATAGAGACAATGTAAAAAGGTCCCAGATAAAAACAACATCCCACGTTTCCAAGTTGATGGGGGATCACATGACGAGAAATACATGGTGCTAACGAGTGGACCTCGTTCTTTCCCAAGTTCATCTCCGGCTGAATGCTGACCACGAACGTGGCAGGTCCTTTTCCATGTACTATCCTCTTTTTTCTTTTCTTTCATCCGAGCAAAAATATCCCCATATGAAAATCTTTCATGTATATCAAGAAAAGCATTAACGCACATGTCAATAGGACTCGGTTGTGTCATTCATTTCCTAGGGTGGCCGTACACTCCATTCGGTCTCACGAGCCCTGCACCACAACTTTGATCATCGAGAATTGAGACAGATGCTGCTGATCAGAAAATATTTTATAAGCTCGTTTCGGAAATATAGTGCGAATTCTTATTATTATTTTTTACTTATTTTTGTACCTATATTTGTCTAATGAAATGATTTCGGTGTGGTCGTAACAGATAATATCCCCGTTGCTATTGTTTTGCGTACGACTTTGCAAGTAAAATATCGCCCCTTTTCACTAACATTTTCCCTCGCCTCAGCCGCTTTGAAACTCCTCGTAGTATAACCCCTTGAAATTCAATCTGGACCATCACTTGCGATGTCGTCGGACCCACGGTTTGATCGGGTCGTACGCTTGGGTTGAATATTCGTATGGCCTGGCGTAAGGAAGAGCATCACGCATCCATGTCATGTCCCCCTGGTCACACACGGTGGAGCAAGTGCAGGAAAAAGTGTGTGTTTGAAAAGAGTGGAAAATCAAGGAATAAAGATGCTGAACGGGTCGTTAAAACCGCGTTGGAAGAGCTGGTGCTTTTGACTGCCCGCCACACATAATCCCTTGCCAATAATGGTGCCGGTTTTCAAGCTATACAAGTTGCGCGTATCCACATCAATGGGTCCAAATGAGCCGATATCTCTAGCAAATGATAGAACGAACTTTGTTGCAATCGATTTAATCGGGTCTTTCGAAACGATTTTTCTTTGTTTATGAATCTTAAGGGGCAATGTTTTCCCACACCACATCTACTTCTACGTTGAATCCAACTTAGTTTTAGTAGTTCATTTTCCTATTAGGGAAGATGATGGGGAATTTTGGAAGATTTCTCAAATCTGAGTGGTCCGGGGGACCCACGTTCGTCAAGTTGATAGAAAACCGAGAACTCGAGTCAATGGATTCTACATTGGGGGTTCAATGGTTTTATGTTGGTCCTGATTTTCCATCGAAAGGGGGGGTCCCGCTCGAGTAGATTCCCGCCTATCCTCATTTTGCGTGTTAGTAACTAATTGATTAATCAATTGCGGGTATCCATTTTGGACCGTCATTAAATGATATTTTATATTGAGGGATTTATGTCGATGTGACCTCAAATCCTTTGAACGAGGCAAAGGTGCGAACCAAACCGAATTGAATTGAATTTTCTTTTTCATTTTGGGAGAAGGATGGTTCTGAGCAAGACCTTAAAAGACTCAAGGAAGATAAGGGGAGGGAGAGCCTCAGTCGAGGTGGGAAGTTTGAGGCTTGTCACTTCTGCTGAAGTTAGCTCTCTCAAACTCCTCCGCATTTCCTCTCTTCAAGGAAGAAAAAGATTTGGAGGGAACGTGGGGACTTCCGAGTGGAGAAGATAGACTTCACGTCTGCTTCGATAGGCTATCACTGGGTAGGGCTGGTATAGTAGCCTCCTGTGTTTGAAATGACGGAGGGCAGTTTTGGCTCCTGCGGTCCAACCGCTAACGCGAAATCAACCCGCAGGGTTGGAACCGTACCCCCGGTTGATTTCGCGTGGGACAAGAGAAGAAAGGAAATGAATTGGCCAAACTCTTGTCATCCGATTTGGACCCTACTCACGTCTTCAGCGCTACGTTTCATATATATTCTCAGAAAGCTTCCATTCGGCCACGTGGCTCTTTTTCAACACCTACCTATTTATATATTTTAGTTGTTTATCTATTACGGTACAGTATGAGTTTAGCGTGGAAATTAATACATAATATAATTTGATTAGTGAAAAAAAAACTTGTCTAATTAGACAAAACCTGAATGGCTAAGAGAGTCGTGATTCCCCCTTACGTGTCTTAGAATTAAGTTAAGTGCGTTATCTTTTCTTTCTTTCTTTTCTTTTCTTGACCAATCGTTATTATCTCTTAACATATCCCACGTTCGATCAAACAAGAATCTCTCCATTGCCAATCGATTTCAAGTTTGGGTACTATACAGTTATTTATTGCACCATTGCGTGCCCATTGGACGTTACCTACTGTTTACCGACTATTTAAGCTTGAGGTTTTGATTCGAGTTTGGTCTCGGTCAATACATAGTGCATCCCGAGCGAGCTTGCATGCATGCATGGAGATCGTCATACCAGCACGTGCTGATCTGATTTTTCTCGGTTAGGGAGGACGTCAAGTGGGGCGAAAAGGCACAGAAGCTGCTAAGGTTCGTGAGTCATCTGATTTGGTTCTTATCCGATGTCGTGCCTAACATGGCTCGTGGCTCTGAGTGATCACATGCGTGCACTTAAACCACCTGTACGGAGATTCATGAGTTTGTTATTATCATCGCCTTTATCCTGTTGGTACTAATACAGCAATACTATTATCGCGATCGATCCCTCGTGATTCAAAAGATGAGAAAAATTACTTTTTCATGACGATGTTGGGCACTGCGCCACTTTCCGACTTCCGAGGGTTGTGTTTTTGTAAAGTTGGAGATGACATAGTACATGACTCAGGATTAACACGACACATCATGTCCACTAAAGAAAAGCCACACACTTGCGGCCGTTGCCATGTCAACCTCGAAGGGCATGGGAGGAGGGAAGATGGAACACGTTTCTGTTGGATCGTCATGCGCGAGGGGGAATCTTGAATTTGGATGATCTTGGGGGTGTTGATGGCGTGTCATTTCGCATGCTTTATGTTGTTTATTATTCAAATCCACGTGCATATCATTGGTACAGTTTGAGAATGATGCCTCCAATAAGTACGATAATTCAATTACTTGGAGTGAATCTGGTGAAATTTATTTGTGTAGGCCTCCTCATAAAATACCTAAAAATAGGCATTTCCAATGTATGTAAAAGCACAATAAATAACAATATACTATTCACAAAATAAGTCAATGGAAAATCTATACTTAAATTCAGGAAAATGATTTTCTTTTTAAAAATCGAAATTAATTTTTTAAAATATAACTAGGTATTGGTTTTTGGACCCGAAACTCTACACTTGGGCACGGAAATCGCAATGCTGGTTCCTAGGTTTCCTGCATCAAGGACCAGGTCTTCAGTGCTCAGGCCCATCGAGGCCGACCCTGCGATCCGGGTG